TTCTTACTACGTATAATAGCTACCCTCCGTCTACCGTTAGAAAGAATTAGCTATTAACCTTTATTAACTACCGCCCTAAGCTTCGTATACGCTTCTCGCGAAGATACGATTACTAAAGAGCCCTAAACAAAGATCCGAAATTAATTCGGTAGTAGTTCGCGACTATATAAAGTATAATTAATAAGAACGGTATATAACTAGAGGATATCTATAACTTTAATAAGATAGGCTTTGTAATAGGCCTTATATCTTCGTAGAAAGTAGTTATAAGAGCTAAATACTACGGTCGGAGGTCTCTTCTATAACTAGGAAATCGCGAATAGGTTACTACTATCGAAGTAATCTACGTAGATAGCTATTCACTACCGCTATATATAGTCTTTAAAGGTAAAGTAGCTATTATAGGATAGTTTAACGAAAACCTACCGAAAGACTAGCGAATTAAGGTCTCTACTAATAGTTAGACTACTGATAAGATTAGTCTACGCTAGCTATAAAAGCTATTTATCCCGTTAACGAATTCGCGCGTATATAGCCGGTTTCGGCTACTAATTCTTAACGGCTATAGTAGCTATCTTATACCTTAATTCGATCGAATCTACGCGGATAATAATATTATACCTCTTTATATATCTATATATTTATTATATCTACTATAACTACTAGATATTAGGTATTTTATAGTAGTTAAGTATATATACAGTCGCTTCGTTAGTAATCTTATACGTAGAGAATATAACTATATTAATAAGTATAATTTCTTAGTAGATTACTAGTATACGCGGCTAGAAGCCTTCTAATTAACTAATCCTACTATTAAAAATAGCTTCGTAGCTAGTAGTCTAGTACTATTAGATACCGAGAGAGTACTTAATAAGCTTAATATCTCTCTACAAACTCTAATACTACTAAATAGCCGGCTAAGTAGTAGATCTAGCTAATTTATACTAAAAATACCCAGAACCGCTACTTAGCTATTTAAGTAAGCTTCGATATTAAAAGACCTACTAAAGTAATAGTCAAATAGCCTACTAAGTCTATTAAAAACTATACTAGACTAGCTTATTAAGGGTTACTACCTAGCGCTTTATAGTAGTATACTACTAGCAGAGGACAACGCGAATTTATATATAGCGAATAAGAAGATAGTCAAAAAGCGTAATCAGTTAACTAAGAAGATACCCTACGAAGAGGGTTTAACTATTAAAGAGGCTATATAGCTAGCTACGTAGCTAAACCAGCTAGAGGAAGATAATAGGATTAATTCGTATAAATAGGTCGATCTGCCTAATTAGCCGTATTAACCGGTTAGGAGGGCTCCTCCTACCTATAGTAGATATAGAGTAATTAGGTATAAGATTAATTAATATAAGAATCGTTAGTAATAGCAAATTCTATAGGTATTAATGGAAATAATCGATTTTGAAATTCTAAACTATGGTAGGGTGACCGGGACGGCCGGGTAACCGACACGGCCGGGAATTACGTTATAGTCCTCTATCTTAGCTATCTTTTTATAAAGCTCCTATATTACTGACTAAGAAAGAGGAGAATACTTAAGGTAGTCTAATCTTACGAGATAGGTCGAGTTATAGAGAAACTAAACTAAAACCTACTAGTATATATATCTAAAGACCTTATAAGCTAACTATATAATACCTATCTATTCGATATTAAGGGTTATAAGTAAGGATTAGAAAGAGTATATTATTATAAGTATAAAAAAATTAGACTATAAAGACTATCATTTATCCTTAATCCTTAGATATCCTTTGTAGATAACTCTCCGCGGATAATTCCTCGATCCCTCCTATAGATAATTAAGTTAATTAATCTCCTATCATAATATCTAAATAGCCTCTCCTAACTATAAGGCTACTATGAGATACCTATACCTATATAAGCTATCTACTCTAAGTATATATAACCTAATTCCCTACTATAATATCTACTAATAAGAAGAAATTTAGACTCTCTTAGAAGAAAGTTATCTATAAATAGAAAGAGATATATATTTCAAAGCTATATCTATCTTATAGATTAATAGGACTAGCTACTAATCTTTAACGGATAATTTTATCTTAGTTCATATATATTAGAGATAACTATAAGACCCTAGATAGTCCTAAATCTAGTATCTAGTCTAAACTTTCGGTATATTATCGCGATTTTTTATTACCGGAAAAGACTTCTTTAGGCTAATCTAGTTAAAAATATAGTAGCTAGCTTTTATATCCTTTTTTTATATCAATTTAGTTACCGGATTTAAGCCCGATCGGAGATACGCTTATTAGTTATAAAAGATAGGATTCGCCTTCTATTATTAATAAATTAAATTTCTCTTCGGTAGGGACTAGTAGCGTATATACTAATTAATTTAAGAGTAGTATAACTAAGTAAGATAGGCCTATCTTCGTTATTTTAAGATAATAGTAAAGGCTAAATATCAATAATTTAGTATATATTCTTACCTTCTGTATAAAGAGAAGGGATTATTAAATATACTATAATTTATATAGACTAATAAGGATCCGGTTTAAAGGTCTTAAGAAAACTTATATTATTCTCGAAAGATATAGGGAATTAACTAAGGAACAGTAAATTTCTAAGAGTAAAGATATATAGTAGGAAATTAGATTATATATACCTAGATTAGATAGCTTATATAGGTATAGGTATCTAATAGTAGTCTTGTAGTTAGGAGAGGCTATTTAGATATTACGATAGGAGATTAATTAACTTAATTATCTATAGGAGGGATCGAGGAATTATCTGCGGAGAGTTATCTATAAAGGATATCTAAGGATTTTGGATAAATAATAGTCTTTATATTCTAATTCCTTTACGCTTATAATAATATACTCTTTTTAATCTTTACTTACGATCCTTAATATCGAGCGGATAGGTATTATATAGTTAGCTTATAAGGTCTTTAGACGTCTATACTAGTAGGTTTTAGTTTAGTTTCTCTATAACTCGACCTATCTAGTAAGATCAGACTGCCTTGAGCATTCCCCTCTTTAATAACTATTTATTTTATATAAGCTATAGCTATAGTCTTAACTACTAACTTTAGAGCTATAAAGGATAATAATAAAGGAAGGAAGAAAGGAAGGAAGAAAGAAAGAAAGTTAACTCTAAGAAATAGAAGAGAGAACCCTCTATCTCCCCTATAGTACTCTTTATTAGGCCCTGTTAGATAAAATAAAGAAATATATCTATTATAGATCTATACTACTCGCTAGGGTCTAGTATCTCTAGAGAGAAGGATAGTTATAAGAGGACTCCCTTTATTAAAGTATCCTATTAGGTAACTTATGGCTAGCAGGCTATTAGATAACCTATAGTCTATAATTATTAGGTAATCCTATATAATCATCTATTAGTAGGCCCTTCCGTAGCTTCGCGGGAGCTAGGCTCTCGGATCCTATTATCTAACCTTAGACCCCTATTATCCTATATATTCGAACTAAAGATTTAGAACCTCTCTAGTACCTCTTCCCTACCGCTCCGGCTAATCGATCGATCGATTGATTAATAATAAAGGGGTTAAAGGGAATCCCTCCGGAGTATAGGGAGAAAGCACTATAAGATAGATATCCGGAAGGGGACCGATAGAAATCCCTAAGAATTAGTCTTTGTACCAATCTGACTATTACGAGCCATCTCTTCCCTAACGATCAAGTCCAGCTACCTTACCAACGTAGTTTCCTTAACAGTTTCAAGACAATTCACGGCCTGTTAGCTAGGAATGTATACACCAAATTGCATGATTTTCAAGGTTATGCTTCGAGCACGCACGACCAACCTCTATGGAATAATTTGTGGTCTACAAGTGAGGGCACTATAGTCGATCAACCGAGAAACCAGCCACGGAAGCTCCGTGGAAGAGGAGGATGACACACGTGAAGTCCGCGGCCGTCAACCAAAAGAGATCCACACCAATCCACCACCACATCCACCGCATCCACCTTCACGCAACCGCGAAGCGGTCAGACCTTGAAAATCCAGACTGGGCCATGCCCGGCGATTGTGCGCCCTCCACAATTCGAAGGAGATCCGAGAGCCGTCCGACTGCACGGTCAGGCTTGTTGGAGTCGCCCACCTCCTTTTGCGTGAGATGAACGCGCTTGATCAAGTTGGCAGATACAGTTCCCCTAGTCGGGCATCAGTGAACGTGAATGAAGCATACTGATTCATTGGACAGCATTCCATATTCGCAGTCCATTCCCATACAGTGTGCACGTTCGGCGGAAGAAGGGTCCACCCACAATTGTCCATCCTCCGTTGATGGACTAAGCTCGAATCGAGTCCAGAGTCCAGACTGTTCCTACCGGTACCAGAGTACCGCGTCTATCGCCGAATCTCCACCGAGTCCACTCCGTCCCGAGTCCCCCGTCCCTCAATAGCTTCATGAGCTCTCTTCAATCATGTGGTGTTACTATTTATGGCTTAGGCAGATCTCTTACGGCCAGGTTCACATGATCGACGATCTTTTTTCCAAGGGTTGATCTCTCCTGCTCCTCGTGGACGGCACATGCAACTATCCACCCATTGAGTGGCAAATTCTTGAGACGGATGTACTGTTCCAGTATACAGTAGTCCCACTACGGTCAACCATCCTGCGGTCAGTTGCGCCCGCGGACGTGTGTCTTCCCTCCAGGGATCTCCTTCCAAGAACCTTTGTTAGGTTTGGTCCTGTACGCTGGAATCCAACGGGTTCGTCGTACAGCTCAGCACAGCAAGCCAGTCGTCTGTCCTTCTCGACCGCCTCCTGTCCCAGTTCCCACTTTTTATCATTCGCATTCCCCCCCCTCTCCACAGAGAATCCACCCCCAGCAAGCTTCACCGGGGGGAGTTTGATTTCTCTTGGGGATCCCCCTGTTTGTGAATCACTCTCATATGGTACACCGACCTGACGATGCGATAAAGGGACCGTTTAATTCCATTTCACAAGGTATGCTGCGACTGGTGCTCAGATTGCACAGTGGTTGTTGAAAATGGGCCCTCAGCCGACGGCGGCCCATCAACCAGCCGATACCCCCGACATCACAGTCGAGTCACTTGATGGCCAGCCCTCGACCTCTGCAGGGGCCGTTCGGCAACAGCATGAGGAGACGGCCGTTCAGGAGGCGGCTCCGTCTCAACCTAAGCCCCGACGATTCCTCGCACAGCCTACAGAGACAACATCGCGTAAGGTCTCGGCCAAGACGGTGAAACAGGATGACGAACAATCATCGCGAGGCGGAGGGGTCCCGGCCGGAGGGGATCCTGCCTCGCTACAGCAGCAGTCCCAACCCTCCGTCAAGTCCGCCCGGAGATTTCTGCCACAGCCTGTCGAAACCAGCAAGACGAGTCATCACAGCGCCGGCAAGAGCAAGACAAGACGATTCAAGCCCGAACTTGTAGAAAGTGATTATCGGTCGGTCAAGGGGGATCAGATCAGTGCTAAAGATCGTGAACATGTCACGCTCTTTCCAACGAAAGCTCGCGTGGACAGTGAACCGGAGCAGGCCAACCGTGGGGCTCGTCTGACACCAGTACGAAGTGCATCCTTGGATCTGCAAGAGTCTCGATTCTCATATGCGAATCTGCTACGTCAGCAAGAGACCCGACGGCATTCGTTCAGAATCCCCGATCTCCCATCGATTCCGTCAAGTGGCAGCGATACGTCGGACTCCTCTCCCCAGACGCCCTCAGCGTCCGCGTCTCCAACTACTACGTCCATGCAGCCTGTTCAGTCTCGACGAGCGGGGCCTCCGAAGAAGAATCCTCATGCGGACGAGTTCTCCGGATATCTTTTGTCCTTGGCGGCAAGAGAAGTCCAGGAGGAGCTGAAAGAGCAAGCACTGGCCGGCTTCCCCAATGAACAGGACTACCAGCCAGTGGATCACTTTGCGATCAATGAGGAAGGCCGAGATTCTTCAGGTGATCAATATTTGATCTACCCACAGCCCCATCACATTAAATCCCGTCGGCAATCGTCAGAGGACCTCTCCTGGGAGCTGGAGTACATGCGTCACCACAAGGAAGAAGCCGAGCAACGGCTTCGAGTGATGGTATCGACCAAGAAAAAGGATCATTCCTTGACTCGCCATCATGCGGCGAGCAAAAAATTGGGTCCCAGTCCACCGATGCTCGGTGGGGATATTGTTCTTCCACAAAGTGAATCACCCGAGGGTACTTTGAGCGAGGATCCTTCCCCAGAGAGCGTCGCTCAGGGACAAAAAGGTCCCTGTGACGACTGTGGCGGTCTCTGGTGTGCAGGACCCCAATCCGACAATAGTCGCGGTACCGGCTTATGGATGGGTACTTGTCATAAGGAGGAGGGCTATTCGCACGAGCCGCATCTCATGCCTGGAATCATGACCCCGATGATACAGAACGAGGGATTCAACTTTACGCCCCCCTCCCCGCCGGAACCACAAACCCTCAAAGTAACGAGGCCCGTGCTGTCGCGAAAGAAGACCGAGTCCGAGTTCACCGATAGCTTTGTCACTCAAATTTACAATTACCTCTCCCTGGGCTACCCTTGTGTGGCCCGATACTATGATTTTGAGCTCAGCAAGATCTCGGGTATTCCCGTCGAAGATCTCCGACAAGACGATCTTATCACTGACGCCCGGGGATACGTCGTAGCACCAGAAGATGGCCAAAAGGCTGACGTGGCCTGTGTTCGATGGAAAGCTTTGCGTTTATATATACACGAATGGGCGCGTCAACAACCAAACATGGCCGAAGATGAGACAGACTTCGAGGCGTGGGGGGTCCGCGAGCGACGAGGCAGTTGGGCTATTTGAACAGTCATTCACCTTCACATTCGCAGTGGAAAAACCTGTCCCTATTGCTGCCCAGGCGGAATGTCAACTGCACACTTGTCACGGTTTTTTATTTCTGTTCTTGGTTGATTGGTAGTTTTCGGAGTTCATTCGTGCATTCGGTCCACTTTCAGCGCCTCAAATACCATTGCGTGCTCTATTATTATCCTATGATCCCAAGCGTGCCAAGTCTGCAACATACTTTTTCACTTATACTATCATTTCTTAATAGCGAGCCATGCAACTTAGATCCGCTTCTTTCAATTGCAGTTAGACATGCTCTTGTCTCGTCGATGTCTGGGTTCAAGTGGCCATGAAGAGTCCGCGTGACGCGTTTGAGCCTTCACTTCCGAGGAGCCAAAGCCTCAACAAATGCTTTCTGGTCTATCATGGTCCTGATTACCTTGCACGCGCCTCATCGGTATGGGTTCTGACAGTCTGCATGGAAATCTGAGCGTAGATGGAAGAACTGTCAGAGAGCGCTTCACTCAGATAATATACATTTGGAAAGGTTGTAATATCGGGTATTTGTTCCTAGATCTCATCAACCACCAGCTCTCGGTGACTCTTACGCGCAGACTTGAAATTGAAATGTAGAGAAGTTCAATTGCCCCGAGAATGAAGAGTCCAGTGACTTCTATCGACATGTGCCCAGGACCGTCAAAGTCACTGTGGGCCTTTGCATCATGCAATGTAGGCAACTCACAAGAGAGCAAAAGGTATGTGTATGACTGACCATGAGCATGTGCTGTTCAAGCTCGCAGTACTCGGCTAAGTAAATCAGCCATTTGTCTTCAGATTTTTGGGGGAGTGGGGAGGCCAGAGGCGAAGGGCCGGTCCTCGATTTCATAATTGCATTGTCCGCACAGATGCAAATATAAACTTCTGCCGAACCATGCGTGATGAATATTCATCAGATGAACAAAGCTCCACTTTCGGCCCGCTGGCGTGGTGACGCCGGGAAGTCGAGCCGAGTCTGAATGCACTGCTGTCTCCTCCATGCGAGTGTAAGTGGAGACGTATTGGGTCGGTCCAAAAACTGTACTGTTAACAACTTAGGCCTTGTTGGTGTTCTTGAACGATGGCGACTGGTTGGTCTTGATGGCTGCCTGGTTGACCGTGTGAAGGAGACCAGGAGCCAAAGCATGTTGCTCTTCGGATGCTGAGCCCCTCGCGTATCGATCAATTCTGTTGGCGGATTGTTAGTCTAGAGCTCCCTCGATATCCCGTGACCCTGAAGTGCTTTCTTATCAGTGTTCTAACTTACAAGGACAGCTCTGCCTGAAGAGTCTCCTGTCGGAAAGCCTCTCGAATATCAGGAACATTGCTCTTGGCCACGTTGTTACCAGCCACGCCCGGGAGACCGCAGTTCGAGCCCAGCCATCTCTTCTTCAGGGAGAGTTCAAATCCACTTTGATCCACAGAGTGCTTGGCAAGCTCGCACATGTCGACTGCGCTGAACTTGTAGATCTGAGCAGCGACGGAGTATTCCTCGATCAAAGGTTCCTTCGTGAATGCAAACTGTAATGGATCATCCGTGGACAATGACACATTGAGACCTCGCTTGAAGAAACTCGCGCATGGATTCTTGTCGTATGTTAAGAAGAGCGCGTTATTGCTGAGGGGAGACATGGCGATACCTATTTGATCCAGATAATACAGATACTGGAGGAGGGGGACCTTGCGTAGCAGAATACCGTGACTGATGCTGTGGCAAGCCAAGAAGCCTACCGCGAGATGATCGGGATCGCCGGCCTCACCACAGTGCGGTCGAAGCACGAACGTGTTGAAGCCCCGGCGCTGTCGCCAGTTGTTGAGAGAGGAAATGTTGGCAAACATGAAGTAGATCCAATAGCTGTAAGGAGGATTCTGCTTGGTGTTCCAGTCGCGAGGGATGGGATACTTGCGATAGAAACGACGTTCGGCCTTGCTCTCGTCATCGACACTGTCGAAGCCGACCACTCGCTGCAGGAAAATGTGCAGCTTGGGGTGGCTCGAGGGATCCCTTGTCACCTCGAACAATGGCTGGAAGACATTTGTGATGACTTGTTCAAAGTTCTCCATCATGCCGCTTGACTTATACACGTCGTACAGGCGAGGGACCTGAATCAGCCATCGGACGTTCGGGGAGAACAACTTGTTGTCTACCACCCAGGCAGCAAGCTTGTCCCACTCCTGAATAGATCGACCATAGATGGAGATTCGCCATTCAACCATCTGATACTTGCTGGATTCCAAATCGGAAATGACTTCCTTGGTGATCTCTGCCAAGTACCGGCCCTTGATGTAGTTGTCGGTCTTCAAGAAGATCTCACGAAGACGGGACTCGCCAACGGGGTTGTACTTCAAGTTGAACTTGTCAAAGCGGTGAAAAGAGTCCGTGTGTGCCTGCAAGATCACAGTCAGTGAAAGGGCTAGGAAAGTGGCAGTGGTGCCCTTAAGAAGAACTCGAATCATCAACTCACGTGCATATCGAGAGTGTCAATACTCAGGTCATAGGCAGTTAAGTTGATACTTTCAAAGACCTCCCGCAGAGTCAAATGCTTTCCGTCTCGATAGAGCACGACTTCATCAGGCGACTTTCGCATCTTGCTCTTGATGAAACGGAGCAGATGTTTCTGGTTCATACACGCCGAGTGATGCACGTGGGTGTCGACCTTTCGCACGTTGTAAAAGTCTCTGTGGGGAACCTTCTTACTGTCTGCGATCTCCTGATATTCGTTGAGCAGCGCATACAGCTGGAATTTGCCCTCCAAATAGGACAGCCGCTTGAACGCGAAACTTTTGGTAGGGCCATCTGTGGAGACGTCGACCACAGCATCCAGATCCATGTAAAAATCGCGCAGAGATGGAATATGCACCGCCGGCTTGTCCTCATCTGCAGCTGCGTCAGATTCATAGACCTGGTAGACACTGTTCCCGTCCAAGCGGTAGGTCCACGAGGCCGGCCCCGGCACGGGCTCCAGGGCAGCCACATCGAAGTCTTCGCCAATGTCTTCTCCCATCTTTCGCCTCTTTCCTCCCGCCAGATCCGATGGCCCACCAACATTTCCAGGCTCATACTCTTTGCCCTCATGCCAGGCTGGTTCGGGAGGAGGAGGATAGATCTGCCACTCCGGCTTGTTCCGCGGGTCATCCTCAGGTCGTTGGAGTGATAGTGCCATGTACTTGGAGCGTCGATCAAGCAAATCCTTGATCTTGCGGTAGATGGCGCTCAGCTCGGAGGTGACTGCGTCCCCACCCGGAACGAATGCAGCGGCACTTTGGGGTAATCCCATTCCCAGCCCTAATCCATGGACACCTTCCGGGGTGGTATTTGCCGTCTGGTGCGAGGTCTGCGAAGACGTGTGGGCGCCTCCAATGGGCATGGCATGGTTGCGTGCCGACAGCTCTGCGGTCAACTGGCTGTTCTGCATTTGAAGCGGGGACCCATTGATCTGATCCTGCTGCATGGCAGGCCCCAGATGCCAATCCGACTCATGGCCCATGGAGGATGTCACTTGGCTTTGCGAGAGGGGACTCGTTCCCAGTCCGGCCATCGACTTCAGGTCCGTGGAATCCACGGATGGACGTCCCATGAAGATCGGACTGGCGGGTGAGTCTCCCTTGGCCGCCAATTGGTGGTGCTGATAGAACAATTTGGCTTCGGCGTGACTCAGAGACTTCTCAAAGGCATAATCATAAGTGGCGGTCTTCTGCTGGAGATCGCGGGGCAGGATGGCGGTCGCGCTTTCCTGAGAATCGTCCAAGAGCCCGTGGTGTGCAAAGCCTGTTGAGCCCTCGTCGGCGGACTCAACACCGGGTGAGGCGAGTGGCAGGTCAACCCCATTGCGATTTGAACCGGGCCTTTCCGAGTGGGAGGAACACATGATGCTTGATGAAGGTGGCACCGAGCAAGGTCAGGCTGAGCGGCACACTTGGGAGGAAGAGGCAGAGGGGGGGGGGGCAGGAGCAGGGAGGCGGTGTTAGGCGTCGATGGCGGGATGCAGTGTGATGTCGCTGTTCCAAAAGACAGTGCCAATGCGGGTATGATGACCCAAGTGCGATTGACAGAGCAATCAACGGATCTTGGGCAGATGTTATGAAACAACCAGGGTGGTTGAACAGCTGAACTTGACGATCCACGCCACCGCTGCTCTTGACGGGAAAAAAAGAATCCCACTCAACCTTATCGGCGTATCTAAATAATTTTCTTGGGGCCCAGAAAAAAAAAGGCGGAGAAGATGACTCTGCTGATCCACCTGTGAGCTGCACCAGGCGTGGGACGGTCCCGATCGGTCCAAAAAGCTTGACTAATACAGTATCTGTCTGGATGGACTATGGACGGCTGCATGGTTCAGATTCACGGTCGCATCTCTTGCTATGTAAACTGACTCTATAAGTCTATTAGTTTTATTAGTCAGAATAGGTAGGGGTGAGGTGTCTTTCACTCTACACTTACAGTACAGGTCTCATAGCACTGGTGATTACATACTGTCTGTCATGTCTGATCATGTGAGGTGATGTTGACTCATACCTATGCGAGAACTAACTACTGAATTGGCAACATACGGAGGACAATTAAGAAAATTGACTTCTATGTAGCTTAGGATGACAGGCATGACCGCAGTGGTCAATCATGTGTTCAATCAATTGTTGATTGATTGCCCTGGATATTTGTCACAAACAAGGTAACCCTATCGTATAAATGATAATACCTACGACTCAGAAAAAATATAAAAAGATGGCCTCTCGTTCAAGACATTATTAGATGATGTCACAACTTTCTACCACACTGCCAAAAGGCGCCGACGACTAGCGCTTCGCCTAGACCGAGATAGTACTGGTGTCATTCTGGAAGTCTCCTGGAATAAGAACGGTGCTGAACTGCTTCTAACCCAGGTCAATTTCGACGGGTACAAGTGGACCATGGAACAACTCAGGTAGTGTGCCTGACTATAATTGATGTGGTGACTAGTAAGTGGTAGTAAGCTACCTGGAGTAGGTACTAACTAGTAGTGAACTACTACTGACTCGTAGATTGATTGCCTCTGGAACTTTAATAAGGACTGTTGGATACTGGCGAAGGTATTGAATAGGATGTTTAATACGATACCATGGCCTTCCTAATGATTCCGTGAGCAACACTTCTCGTTAACACTAGGGAGAAGGCCGTGTTACGCGAGCTCATGAAGGTACGACTTCGCTGCATACTGCTATCACCATCACGTTTATTACGTACTACCGACTCACCGAGTATAGAAAAGTTTCCCAGACACGCTTGGCCTGCCATAATAACAAACTCTTCATCCTAGGAGCTTCAATCAAGCATGAATCAACGTGCGATCTGCCGATTGATGATCTTGCTGCCAGAGATGCCAGACAAGCCACAATATGAATCTGCTCTGCGATGAATAATACCTTGTCAAGTTGTCAGTACTCATTGCCTTCATGGATAAGGCCTATGCAGTTGGACTACTCCTGACTCTAGTGGGCTCCCAACAAGCACGGTCAATTGCGAACAAGTGTCAATACTCAATTGGGGCATAAAAGATTTACAGTACTCTGATCGTGAATGTAATCAACCTGCTTTACGACCTCCAGCGTACCGATCCGAGGGCCGACCGAGCTTCAATACGAATACGCGTCATTTGGCAGCCTCAGCCTCAGGTCCCACTGAGAAGGTCAACTACAATGAATCTCTTTCCTCAGGGCTTGGTGCTCAATAGATGGACAGACTTAGGCCGCCACCAGAAAGCTGATGCCTCGAGAGCACGAGCTAAGGGTAGACGAGCACCGCCACGATGCGTCGTGCCTCCGTGTCCACCTTTGACCAAGTTCGGGGAAAATACAGTCAATACACTAAATCAGCAGTGGTGAATGCCTACCGAAGTATTGCCTACGGAGAGTCATGGTCGGACAGTCTGTCAGAGTGCCCACTGCCCGGAGTTGCCCATGCCCAGTGCCCACCTTTAGGCTCCCCTTTACACAATCCCCACCTCCACAAGCTTCATCTCCTATTCTCACCTCACACGGCTTGCCCCCATTGCACCCTCTTATCCCGAGCCACACGTCTCATTCCCCTCTCACTGTTTGGCCACAGTCCTGAAAGAGGCTACCAGCTGATATATCCCTCGGTAAGTGTCAATATGCCCTCTACTCCGTGTCAACTGGTCCTCTCCCCTCTGCAAAGCACCCCTCCTCGCCGCCTACGTCAACGGGACGCTCCTCGTGGCCTTTGGAAGCTGCTCTCCACACACCACCCGCAGCTTCCGCCACTTCTTCACCATCGCCTCCGCGGATAACAAACAGACTCGGGCTGCCTATGACCACAGAATAATACGCGCGAACAAGTAACTGTGACTGACCTTGGTCTGCAATTGCAACCAGCTTCCCTCCGTCGCCTAGGCACCCGTCACGCCCTCGCTCTCCCTCCCCCCCCCATATCAACTTGCGATCATGGCATCCCTGAATCTCTCCACAAACGGCCCCTCCATATCGAAAAGCTACCAGTCGGTAGTTAATGCAACTCTCCCGACAGGCAGCGGAGCCTCGCCCACGTACGGCCACTGGGCCGTCTTTTCTGTTTCTACTCCTCTAGTAAACGCCTTCCAGCCAGATGCGGGTAACAAGGAGAGCGTGCTGAAGGTCCAAAGCTCTGGAGGTGAGTCTTGCATCGGTGTTGAAGATGGCCACGAAACTCATCCTCTAACCTACTAACTATTCAATTCGATCGTCGCAGAGGGTGAGTTAGATGACCTGATTGAGGAATTCTCCGAGGGTCGTGTACAGTTCGCCTACGTGAAGGTGACAGATCCCAACACGGGACTGCCCAAGAACGTCCTGATTGCCTGGTGTGGTGATGGTGTGCCCGAGCGCACAAAGGGCTACTTCACCAGTCACCTGGCGACCGTCTCCAAGTTTCTTCATGTACGTGTCTATGGCTCCCTTCGAATCCACACGAATGGGTTCCCCGGATGTTTTGACTGACGTTCAATGCTTCGGTCGTCCAGGGATACCACGTCCAGGTCACAGGACGTGCGGATGGTGATCTCACTCCCGCTGGTATCGTGCAGAGAGTCGCAGACTCCTCGGGCGCTAAATACTCCTCCTCCGAACCTCAGAATCCAGTGGCTTCATCGGCATCCACTGGATCTCGGCCTCCCGTGGCCAGCAAGCCAGTCTTCACTCCATCTCGCTCTCGCGGCATTGTCCCAACCCCTAGCGCACGCGCTGTCCCCTCAGCCTCATCTACCAAAGTCGACGATGACGGATGGGGCGAGGATGCGCCTCCTGTGACTCGTACTCAGCTCGAGAAAGTGCAGCCCGCATATCAGCCCACCCGAGTCAATCTGCAGCAATTGAAGTCGGAGAATCAGGTACCCACCCGGCAGATGCCGGCGCCCGCGCCACAGGAACGAGAGGACGTGGTGAAGGGTGGTTATCAACCCATCGGCAAAGTCGACATTGCGGCAATCCGGAAGCAAGCGGCGGAGTCGGGTCAGCTCAAGGACGACAGACCGGCTCCCGTGAAGGGCTCATACGAGCCCATTGGCAAGGTTGACATTGCGGCCATTCGTGCGAGAGCGCAAAAGCCCGAGGAGAGCGCCGAGGTCGCTCCCCCTCCTCCTGCCAATGTGTCCAGTTCAGTGACCCGCAATGAGCCCTCTATGTCGTCCGAGCGGACCATTCCCGTCTCGACAGCAGGACGCCTCACAGATCTGCCCAAGCCCAAGGTGGCCAACAAGTTCGGTTCAGGTCCTGCTTTCCCAGGCACAAAGCCGCCATTGCCCGTTGGACTGGGCAGCTCATCCGCCAATGCGCCGGTTCAAGTCGGTGCGGCCAGTCGTACCTTTGCCGACAAGGATGGCAAGACTCCCGCCCAGCTCTGGGCGGAGCGTAAGGCACGGGAACGTGGTGAAGCTGCACCGGCCGCCAAGCCTTCGCCGCAGCCCCTGCAAAGTCAGACCAGTGGCCAAGGCGAATGGAAGAGCTCCTACACCGGAAAGTCTTGGGCTGCAGTCAAGACCGTTCAGGACACGCCTGTCTCGCAAGCCGCCGATGTCTCTTCGTCCGAGCCTGCTACTCAGGAACCTGAACCATCCCCAGCTCCCCACGTGCAGGATATCCGCAGTCAATTCGCGCAAGACTCTGCGCCCTCTGTTCCTCAGGCCAATCGCCCAGTTCCCCTGCCGGGCCTGACCGCACAACCCAGTGAGCCAGAGCGTGAGGTGGAACACGAGCCGGAGGCGCACCAAGACGAACGTGAGGCTGAGTTCGAGCCTGAGACTCATCCCACGGCGGAGGCTCATATGGACCTTCCCACACCCCCACCGCAGCTGCCGCGTTCCCCTACTCCCCCTACTCCCCCGCGATTCGGGAAAGCTCTCCAATCCGTGTAGCGATGCCTGTGAGCAACAGCGGCGTGGCTGATGCTCATGAGGAACAGCAATCTCCTCCTCCCGCGATGCCTATTCGCAGCCTCCAGGAAGCTATTCCTGACGAGAGGGAGCTGGAAGACGATACCCACCATGATCTGGGTCGAGCTGCAGCCGAAGCTGTGGCAGACACCTCCGCTCCGGGTCAGGGGGCTCCTGACATTCGAGCCATTGTCCAGTTCGATTATGAGAAAGCAGAGGACAACGAAGTTGAGCTGCGCGAAGGCGAGCAAGTCACTGATATCGAGATGGTGGATCAGGACTGGTGGTTGGGAGTCAACTCCCGTGGTGAACGGGGTCTGTTCCCAGCCAACTACGTTGAAGTCATCGAGGGAGACGAACCCGATCAGGCACAGGTTGCTCACTCTACCTCTCAATATGCTCACGAGCCTGAGGATGCACAGGAGCCCGAGCCTGAGCCCGCGTCCGCGCCTGTGCCTGTGCCTGCGCCTGCGTCTACTGCTGCATCATCTGACCATCCGACTGCCACTGCCTTGTATGACTACGAGGCTGCGGAGGATAACGAGCTGAGCTTCCCCGAGGGAGCGAAAATTACCAATGTGGTATGTTCAAAGCCATCTTTATGAGAACTCTTCAAAGAATGGGGTTGTCAGGCACTAACACCAATTATAGGAATTCCCTGATGATGACTGGTGGCTTGGAGAGTACAAGGGAGCTCGCGGACTGTTCCCTGCTAACTATGTTGAGCTGAACCAATAGAGTGCCGAATTGCAAGCCCCGGCACTTCTCTGAATTGCGATGCTACTTGTCCCATTTGCGCATTAGGTAAATCATGGGTATCATCGCTTTGGCGATATGAAAGCGTGTGTATAGGTGTTGTAGCTACCTACTAGCAAGTCCAAAATATCACTTTCCCAACTATCGCAAATGGTTTTCCAGTCAAAGGGAATTCATGGTACGGATGCCACAGACAACTCCATTTCATCTGCACAATGACCTGCAGTGGAGGAGCAAAGCCCGACCTAAATAAGTGACAACCGCAGTAGTAAGCATGTCAGGATGGGAGTCTTTCAGTCTTGAGTCTACTAGTGGCATACAGAATCAATACTTTAATCCGCAATGGCAGTGACCGCACGTAAGAAGGTACATCCCGAGGCTTCGAGCCATGGAAAAACACCTCCTCCGACGTCATCTCCTTACATAATCCTGAAACCGTCCGACTTTGCCCAGACCCCAACACTAGACCACTGTCACGTGCTACGGCAAAAGCGCCCATAAACATCAGTGGTAGTCCGCGGCCGATGACCGTAGTCGGCCTGGAGTGTGATCTTCATCCACCATTCAAGGGCAGTCTTATTCTGCCGATATCCTCACGTTTCTCCTTTTTGGAGCTCCTGCCCTTTGCCCTCGTGGATATCGGCCTTTGCCATCAGCGAAAATGGCGTCTCTTGGCGATGATCTGCTCGTCACCGTGAACAAGCTCCAGGACCTGGTCTTTAACACGATCGGCAATGATTCACTGGACCTGCCCCAGATTGTACGTTTTACAGGCATTGCAAACGAAACCCCGCCAACCTGCCCAAGTATTCCTCTTCAAATCCGCTAACTTTTCCTCAGGTAGTCGTTGGTTCTCAATCGTCCGGCAAGTCGTCCGTATTGGAGAACATCGTTGGCCGAGACTTTTTGCCGCGCGGTAGTGGTATTGTGACCCGTCGTCCCTTGATTCTGCAACTTATCAACATCCCCAGCGAGCGCTCCGATCGACCCGAGAATGACGAGGTTCACGTCCCGCATACCCCGGAGAGCGTTGCTGGTCAACATGAGTGGGCCGAGTTCCATCATCTTCCTGGTCGCAAGTTCGAGGATTTCTTGATGGTCAAGCAGGAAATCGAGGCGGAGACTGCGCGCATCGCGGGAAGCAACAAAGGCATCAACAGACAGCCGATCAACCTGAAGATCTTCTCACCGCACGTTCTGAATTTGACGCTGGTGGATCTGCCAGGTCTGACCAAGGTGCCAATTGGGGACCAACCGTCCGACATCGAGAAGCAGACCCGCACTCTGATTTTGGAATACATTGCCAAGCCCAACAGTATTATTCTCGCTGTTTCTCCTGCAAATGTCGACTTGGTCAACTCCGAGGCGCTGAAGCTCGCGCGGCAGGTGGACCCCATGGGCCGCAGGACGATTGGTGTGTTGTCCAAGCTGGATCTGATGGATCATGGTACCAATGCTATGGATATCTTGTCTGGTCGTGTGTACCCATTGAAGCTTGGCTTTATCGGTGTTGTCAACCGCTCGCAACAGGATATTCAGGTTGGAAAATCGCTCTCTGAGGCACTGCGCGCCGAAGCGGACTTTTTCCGTCATCACCCAGCCTACCGGAACATGGCCAACCGATGCGGGACACAATATCTCGCCAAGACCCTGAATTCTACTCTGATGGCGCATATCCGTGACCGTCTCCCAGATATCAAAGCTCGACTGAACACTCTGATGGGACAGACTCAACAGGAGTTGGCAAGCTACGGAAATAAGCAGTTCAGTGGAAAGGAACACCGCGGCTCTTTAATTCTGCAGCTCATGACTCGTTTCGCCTCATCTTTCATTTCATCTATTGACGGAACTTCATCTGAAATCTCAACCAAGGAGCTTTGCGGTGGTGCGCGCATCTATTACATCTTCAATGAAGTCTTCGGCAACTCATTGGAGACCATTGATCCTACTCACAATCTGACCGTCTCGGATATCAGGACTGCCATTCGGAATTCCACAGGACCTCGACCCAGCTTGTTCGTTCCTGAGCTTGCTTTTGATCTATTGGTCAAGCCGCAGATCAAGTTGCTGGAGGCACCTGCGCAGCGTTGCGTCGAGCTAGTGTACGAAGAGTTGATCAAGATTTGCCATACCTGCGGCTCCCAGGAACTTTTGCGCTTCCCTCGCCTGCAGGGTAAGCTCATCGAAGTTGTGTCGGACCTACTGCGTGAGCGACTGGGCCCGTGCTCTGGCTACGTCGAGTCTTTGATCTCCATTCAGCGCGCTTACATCAACACCAACCATCCCAACTTCCCTGGTGCCGCGGCTGCCATGCAATCCATCATCCATAATCGTCAAGAAGAGGAGCGAAAGGCAATCATGGTCGAAGAAAAGCGCAAACGCGAGAAGCGACGACAGAAGGAGCTCACTGCTGCCAATGGAGCTGCCGGTGGACCCGATGACGAAGACGCACAATCCGAGAACAAAGTTCTACCACTTCGAAATCAGTCTGGGAAACCGACACGAAGCATGTCGCCTCACGTCGGGCGGGGCTCTGAAAATGGTATCGCTGCTACTTTGAACGGCACCCACGCAGGCAGTGCGGCCGGGTTCGGTAGCTCACACCACACTACGCGTGACTCCTTCCTCAACTACTTCTTCGGTAAGGAGGGCGGCCTTCCCAGTCCAGCACCAGCGCCTCAAGCGGGTATGACCCGACCAGTTACCCACCACAGCGAGCCGAGCATCAGTCAGAGTCTCCGTCGTCAGGAGGTACGATCGCCAGTCCTACCGGTGGAGGAATACCCTGCTCCTCCGAGCGAGTTCGGTGGAGATATCTCCTCTTTCGTAAGTATTCACCCTCTGCTTTTCAACGTGACTACGAGAATGCCCTGACGATATACTTACCGACGTTTTCATGTCCTTAGCCCCATGAAAATGCGGAACCGACCCTGACGGATCGCGAGATTCTTGAAACCGAGCTGATTCGTCGTCTTATCTCATCCTACTTTAACATTGTGCGAGAAACCATCGCCGATCAGGTTCCCAAGGCGATCATGCATCTCCTCGTCAACCACAGCAAAGATGTTGTACAAAACCGATTAGTCAGTGAACTCTACAAAGAGGACCTATTTGGCGAGCTGCTGTACGAAGACGACGGCATCAAGGCCGAGCGGGAAAAGTGCGAGCGATTGCTGGAGACATACAAGGAGGCTGCCAAGATCGTTGGCGAGGTTCTGTAGATTTGAAGGGGCAAGCCACATTTCTTCTCCTCTCGCTCCGAACTCTTCGCATATGAAGTGAAATGGTGGAGAGGAGGGAAGGATATACACTTGCGTGATTGTGTTTGAGTATTATCGCGGTGCCATCAGCTTCGATCCTATATTTCTCCGGTCGGTTTTCTTTTTTTTTACTTCTTATTTCCACTCGAATTACAACGAATGTACAATTACTTCCTATCAAATGAATTGATAGATGCGCTGCCTATAGGGTGGGCAGATCAAAGTTCATCTCAGTTTCCTCGTTCTTTACCATCGTAAGGGTAGTGCAGCTCTGCGTCCATTGAAATCAAGTAGCTGGAGAACGGCACATGACAACCTCGAGCTCGTGTGTCATTTCAGTGTACAGTGTACAAATGCTATGTCGTGCTCTATGCAAGCGATGAACCGGCTCTTTTCTTCCAGAGTCCTCCAATCGATACCTTTTCGAGGCACCAGAGTCTGTATGCACTCTCTATAATCATACATCCTTCTTCGCAGGACGCTTTCTCATCCTCGTCCCTTCGAATCCATACAAACCGCCACCAACAGTAACCAGGACCGCCCCCACGAGCACACCAGAAGCCAGATCATTTCCAAACAAATAGATCGAAAGCAGCAACGATACAAGCTTCCGTATATTGAGAACGACCGTCACCGTCAGCGACGAAGACTTGGCACTTAAAAGGTGGACGCCACGAATGCAAACGTATTGCGTGAGAGCGTTCATGGCCAGATACGCAACCTGAACAGGGATCTTGTTCAGAAGAGCAGCGAGACTTTTGTGCTGCTGGGCAGCTGTGATGATCGAGATGACGCTTTGGCTGACCGCGCTCGAGGACGTCTCGGTGACGTTCCAGGACGAAACGATGGATAGGAGGGACGGAGATGATGCCACGATTCGCCATTGAGAGAGTAACTGGGGGTAACTTGTCACGAAGAGAGGCAGTGAAAGCGCGTGTGAGTAGAACAGCGCCTCTTTCCAGTGATCGCGCCCATACTTGCCATATAATCTGTCGGCGTAGATCCCCTGAAACGCAGACAGAACCATAGCCAGAGCGAGGATAGTGAACCCAGTCGCGGTGGTCATCAGTGAAACCTCTTCGTCGCCAGCACCGGTGGTCGACGAAAGATCGATAGACTGACCCTTGGCCTGCGCGTCAGCCAAAGCGGCGGCAGCAACGCCGGCAGTCAGCAGCGCCACGGCCAATATTTGGCCTTGGGAATATCTCCTGCCGTTGTACAGATAGCCCACAATCATCGATGCCACAGGTCCTCCAGAGCGGAGGATGATATGCAGTGGGACGGAGATCCTATACGCAAAGGCCCAGTTGTTCAACATGTTCACCGAGACAAAGTAAGCTGTATAAATCATCCATGACCGGAGTGGAATCGCCCGAGGGCTTACGAACAAGTTTTTGGGGCCGGCAGAAAGGGAAAGGAAATGCGGCAGGGTGAACAAGGCGCATAGTGTGAATTGCGCAAAGGTGATCAGGGGACCTGGTTTGGGAAACAGGGACTTAGAGAAAAAGTCTCTCTAGGAGGATTCGGGATATCGGTGCTCACCAGCCGTTGGCAGTTGTCTGCTCATTGAAGCGAAAAGTTAGTCTGAGTTTCTCCGTTGATCGATCAGTGCAATCGCAATCGCCACCTGCGCCCATCACTCCACGATCCATGATAACATAGCCACATTGGGGTTCAAAACTCACTTGATGATAGCCTCTAGCGCAAAAACCTGTCCTCAGGAGATGTGTCAGTCATTCCCATGTCCCTCGTTTTGCCCTGAATAGCCTCGCTTCTCAGACCAATTTTGTTCCCAATTCAAAAAAAAAAAAGCCCCGAGCTCTTTGTCCCACTCACATTCGTACAACATCCTCCCAGGATCAACGAAGCCATCAACACCATATTCGCCCAACCTGGCACCGTCGCATGAGCCACAGCCTTCATCACATCACAATCATTCCCCCTTTTATTCGGTCTCGGGAGACTCGATCCCGCGGCATCAACATCAGATGGCTGCGCAGACCTCGAGTCCGTGTAATCCACCGGCCTGCGCTTCACGCCTTCCGTATCATTGATCATTCTGAGCGGATCTTTCAAGCGGAGTAGTCGAATGGACTGGAGTCAGGCACAGTTGCAGAAGTGAATCAAGCTCGGTGACACTCGAATGGATTCCAGAATTGGAATCGTGCGATTAAAACGGACAGAATGGGGATCTTTGAACCGGGAGGACAAAACGTGGAGTAGAGATTGGACTTTTCAAAAGCAGCTCCGAGGACTGTCGCACATGGCCAATGGTCCAGCTTATGTTTTCCTCGATTATATCGCTGCTAATGCAATGGCATCGAACGCTTGAAACAGGCGACGTGGTGTGAAATAAACAGCTAAGCGGAGATCGGAGATTAGAAGTGCTCGCCGTCCTGTATTGGAGACTGATCGATAAGACGATAAGATAAGGTTGGGTCGTGTGGAGCGAGTGTCGCTGAATGCCGGCCTTTTCAGGTAATGGTGTATCATTGAGGGTCGGGCAAGGAGCTCAGCCTTGAGCGCTAGAACTTGGATTTATATGAATTTGTGATGGCTGTGCTTCTAGGCATGTGTCATGATCTGTCAAAAAAAAGAAAGAAAAGGGCCATCTTAAGACTCAGACATCCCAACATTCGATATTGAAGTAGTGGTGGACATAGATAGCAACTGGGAATAGTGCAGTACAGCCCTATATACATCGATGGCTCATGATACCAGCTGAAGTATACACGAAGAGAAAATCTACCTAGACGCCTGAGGTTGCTCCATGACTCTACATTCCTCTTTCTGCTCGTTTCCAGGATCCCCAGCTGCCTGGAAATCTTAACAATGGTGATCAAAAGTGATGGCATGGCGAGTATTCGAACGGGTTCGGTTTTAGATCGACCAGAAATCTAGATCTCACTTGACGGATAGAATTGGCCGTTGAACAAACATGTCATCTTCAATCATCCACAATATCATCGTCGCTCAGGATCAGCTTTTCTTCCTCCGCTGCACTCGGCGCAGACTTGGCGACGACAACATTTGCAGCGCCTATTGAGCGTGGCAACCCAGGCGCCAGTTCAACCTCGTGATCGTCCTCCGCCTCGTCCATATTCCCGCCTTGGAGATCGGTGCCATTGCTGGAAATACCGGTGATCTGCGCAAGAGACCATCCATCCGGCTCTTTGCGACGAATCTGTGCCATATAAGGTAACTGGTAGAGCAGCGCATCTAAGCGTGGCATCATCGTCACAAGAGCAGGTATACCACCTCCCTCCGAGTCTTTTTCCAAGCCCGACCCACCGAACCCCAGTCGAAGATTTCTCCAGGACTTGACACCGCCAGAATCCGAGCTTCCGCGGCTCAGATGGCGAGAGCCACTGGCAGAATCGAGCATCTGCTTGAGACATGAATCGAGCAGACCTTCAATCTCCTCTGATCGTCTCCATAGGCGCAGTGAAGCCGGGTAGAGCATCTGGTGAGCGATGCGGGAGGGTTTACGCCCATTAATCGATGTGACCTTTCTATTGACCGGGTAAGGTAGGCCGAAAAGCAGGCCGCGCGAGGCTACCTGGAAACTGATCTCATCCTGTCGGAGCATATCAATGCCTGCATTGAACATGGTGGCTCCGATTCCGACACCGGTGCGGGAACCATGGGACGGTTTACGATCCGCGCTGAGAATATCGGCATCCGACAGGGCTTCAATGCAGGCATTGAAGCTATCCGTGAAGGCGTGGCCATGGCAAGACGGGGGGTAATTTTCATGGAGGGCGGAGATGAACGTGGATACATCAGTGCCGGTCTCATCAAGGAGGTCATTCACTGCAACCTCGGAGACTTTGACTCGGCTATGGTGAGAGAGATGGTCAGGAGGTGAAGGTGGCACAACAGTTCCGGCGGGGAGAAGGCTTGGGTCCAGACGTTTGTTGTAAGCGATTTTGCCTACTGCATGAAACATGCCCAGGCTAGCCTCTCGTTGCGAAATCATTTCGAGAGATTCTCGTTCCATTGGCGTGAGAGCTGATCCACGGCGTGCCTTTTTAGACTTTGTCAGGGTTCCACTCCAGGATCCGGTCTTATCGTCTTTCAGACAGAGAAATTCAAGAGCAGAGAGGGCGCTTCGGATGTCACCAATCTCCGCGATTTTTTCAAGCACTGCAGCACCAGGAATCCGAGAGCGTTGGGATGTAGAAGCCTCTTTCTCCAGCACAAGTCGTAGTGCTTTCTGCATGAACGTTGGCGCGATGATATTGAAATCGATGATGGTGGTCCCCTGGTGGTTATACAGAGTCGGGCCTAACAAACGATGAACCGTTAAATTATCGGAAATAGACGATGCAGAACTGAGCATTGTCTCGGAGACAATCATCACGATTGGAGGATGCATCCACCCACTCAAGGAAGATGGTTCTGTCGACGCGGCCAGGTATCGCTGAAGAGATGCACGGAAAGCAGCGAGGCTTGAAGAATTTCGACTCAAAACCGTGGGGAATTCTTCGATCAAGAGTACACGATGACTTCGGGGCTTCGCGTCCTGATTCTTTTTCGACTCAACTGGGTCTTCCAGATGCAGACCCCCAAACCGATCCCCTCGACCGAGGAATTCCTCAAAGTGTGTGCTCACCGAGACAAATTCTTGTGCCGCATATTCTGGAACCGATGGATTTCGCCATTCTATCAAGTCGAAGCCGACAGTTTCGGAAAGTAAGGTGACGGTTGTCGTTTTGCCGCTGCCAGCAGGGCCTCGTAGGACTAGTAACCTCTTATAGAACCGAGCATTAGCCGTGTTAACCCACCAGTGTAGGAATGAGGTCTAATGGTGTAACCCAGTCTTGTGAAGACGGACAAGAAACGACACAAAAGGCTTACATCTTTCCGTCTTCCAGCAAACACATCCTCCAACCATCTCTGCACATCCGAGACCTTTCGCTTGTGCACAGCAATCTCATCCAGACCAGACGGAGCAAATCGCTGTGCCCAAGGACGAGTGTCGACCTCACCCAGCACCGAACCATCACCAGACTTGGAAACAGAAGCCGGGACAGAGACAGATCTCTGCCTCGCGCCACCCACGCCTGACCCGAGACCATCCTCCACTGGCATCAAGAAACGCTTGGACGCATGCGTTTTTGACATTGACTTTGAAGGTGCCCCTGCTGTCGCCGTCGTGGTCGTCGCTGTCGTCTTCTTCTTTTTCGGCACCACACGCTTCGACTTGCCACCTCCAGCCCCATGCGCAACAGGCGATTCAATCTGTATTGAAGAAGGACTCTCCGTTCCACCTCCATAGGTCGACCTCGCTGGCCTCCCATCTACAGCTCCAGCCCCAGGCCCAAGCCCGGCCTTGGCTCCCGTTCCAACCCCAAACCCAACACTGAAATGCTGCGAAAAGATCTCATCATACGAATCGTAATCATCCTCAATGATATCCGCATCAAGCGTATTCTCAGCCGAAGCCGCCAACGGCCGCCTGGGCTCGAATTTCTGCGCCGACCATCGCTGCGCTTCCGTCGCAGGCTGAAAGAAAGTATGCAGTGACTTGGACTTTGTCGGCGAATCAGAGTCCTGTTTTGCCTGGCCTTGTCCTTGTCCTTGTGTTTTCGGTTTCGGCTTCGGCTTCGACTTTCGCGGTGAGACAGACGACGAATGGACTCGTGATAGGGACTGCGACGGCAATTGGACCTGGCTTGTGCGCGGCTTGCAAGGCTTTGAATTTGTGGTTGATTTGGGTTTGGACCGCGAAGTGATCGCGAGACTTGCGGAGGAGGAGGACGAAGGAGAGGATGAGACAAGATCAATTGGGGGCGATTGAGACTGTTGAATCCTTGGGATGGGATTTTCGGAGTGAATGGATCGACGTTGTCGTTTGGCTGGACGGCCGTCCATATTAAGAGGTGTGCTGGGGAGGAGAAAGGCGCGAAGGAGATCACGAATAGAGAGATTGGTGGACTCGATATTGTATGACGGAGTTTGGATGCGCGCGTCTCCCGATAAGCCCCATGACGCCCGCGCGGGTAGATTAAGAGATTAAGGTTGATTACCGATGGAAAATTGATTGGCAGGGTTCAACGACCTTGTGATGGACAGTGGACAGTGGACACTGCCCAGTCTGTGATGTCTACTCGAATGTTTTGATTGTTTATTTTGTAGGGAAGTCGAGGCCACTCGTGGTGTTTGTTACCGAAGTGATAATCAAGTCCCCGATCTGGACAAGCGTGTCCACACGGATGTCATACCCTTGAACTACTGTCTGGCGTGTCTCCCCCCATTCGACAGCAAACTAGAACTTCACGTCCGAGTAGATAGGTTTTATATTTGCTCATAGAGGGTATAATCACATTATCATACAGTATCAACAAGAATCAACAAGGATAAACCTCGCGGTATCCCAGGGCCGGTCACGAAACAGCTCAGTGGTGTCAACCAGTCTAAAGACTGGAAAAGAAGCATGTGGGAACAGGGTCAATCAAGACCGAGCAAAAGTAAACGTCAGAATTCAAATCCACAGACTACGCACCCCCAAAGACATCATAATAGTAATCCTCGTCCAGCCCTTCCCGTGAAGGCACAGGAGGAGCCTCGCCTGCAAACGTAGCGTCGTCAAAACGGACATTCAAAAGACGAATCTTGAGTCCATAGTTGCTAACCAAATCGATCAATTTGGTTGTCTCCGCGGTGATAGGCGGTTGATTGAGGAGCATCAACAGGCCGTCTAGCCATTCGGATGCAACGCTGTGGGAGGCAGGCCGGAGCGTCAACAAGACTATTTCTTTCGAAGTTGATTTACTTGCTGTTCGCGTGTGATTGGGGTTCTTGGAGTGGCTTGTCGAGGATGATGCATGGCCGTGGATAGTGATTTTGGTGGAGGTTTGACGGAGGGTCGTTTTGATGGTGGATGCAGAGGCGTAATCGGGAGCTGTGGAGATGTTGGAAACCACGGATGATACGGTGGTGAGGTCGACTGGTGAGCAGGTAATCTTAGCATTTTCATGTCCTTGCGAAAAAGAAACAACAAGGTCGACTTGACATGGATAGGAAGAACATGACTCACTCTTATTTGGTAACGAGTCCAACTCAGGCAGTTGATCGATCATCGACTCAAACTCGCCAAAATGCAGGTATCGTCGATTGTGCGACAATTGCACGTACTGATGTGTCGCATTCGATCGCACAACAGCGCCCGTCGAGTCCGGCTTGGAATTCGACGCAGATGAATCCAGCGCAAACCAAGCACCGGCCAGCAAGCACCGAATCCGCTGCTCCTTGACAAACTGCAACGCCTCGTGGTGCAGTTCCTCGCGAACCTGGTTGAGATGCTGACCCCACGCATCCTCGTACGTCAACTCCAACAGCTCCATCTGCAGTTCGCGAAGACGCTGGTACTCGTAATTAGCCAGATCCTCTTCGATCTCATGCACGTCCTTTGTACGACCGGCACCACCGACGACGGATTCGATCAGAATCCGCACCAGCTCGACCAATTTATCCAGATCTTCGGACTCGGCGGCCGTGGCCTTCCACAAGCGGAAGAACGCCTGTAGACCCGCGACGTGTAACCTCGTCCAGTGGAGCAGCAACGGTTTGAACAGCTGATCAAAGTTCGTCCTCGACTCCAACATCATGTAGTTCTTCGACTCGTCCATCTCCAACTGGTCAACCTCGAAATGTTCGTAGAGAATCGATGTCACTGCCAGTGAGGCTCGCGTGATCGGACACCGTTGCCGCGCAGGTCTCGTCGACTGTTCCAGCAACATCTTCTGAAACTCGTCCTGGTGGCTGCGCACATAATCGGCCAGGTCCATCATGCCCAGGAACCCAACTTCGTGGAATTCATGTGCCGGGTTCTCCGTCTCGAATCCAAGTCGGCGCCATTTTTCGGGGTGATGTCTCTTAGAGCGTTTGGACTCCAGCTCCTGGGTGACAGGAGCACCGTCTGCAGCTGTCTCGCCACCAGCAACGATACCGTTCCCAGCGGCGGTGCCACCACCACTCTTCACCGGATTACTGGCCACATAGATCCCCTTCAACGCCCTCCGATGTTCCTGCTTCTCCAAGTTCAAGGGGATATCCCTCCACTTCCTCAACAACACCTTGGTCAAGGACTGAAACTCCATCAACGGATGCGCCAGATCCTGCAAGGCCGAGTCCTGCATCAGCACATAGACGGCGCGAATCACGCCCAGATCCTGCAGTCTCTGGATAAACTTGGGCCACTCGGCCTCGGAGTCGAACGTGATCGAGTCGCGCATCAACGAATTGATCAACTGCAGGGCATTTGCGCAAAGGGCATGGTCCGCAGAGGAGAGGCGATTGACGAGCATTTCGAGAAATTGGGGGAAGATGACGATTGCGGGCTTGAGAGCGCGGAAGCCAAAGAGGTCTGCTTCTGAGGCGCGGCTTCCTGCGTGGGGGTGGGAGACGATGGAGACGAGGATGGACATGGCGCCTCGCAGGATGTTGACCAGAGGTTGGGTGACGATCAATTCGACAATCTAGGACAGCAGGACGCGCGAAGCGCCATAAGTCAGCAAACACATACACACACACTCTCTCTCTCTCTATCTTTCACGAAACTCCAATTCTCACACATCGCAACTCTCATTTCGCCGCGCAAACATCCCACATGACAAGACCAAACGCGCACAATCTTCCTCAAAGATCAGATCAAAAGAGAAAACAAGTCTTAATCTCATCCCACCCCACCCCGAACATCAGACCAAAACCCATGAGAACCACCAAAAAAAAACACTCTACATCTTGATCCAATCACACCCTCTTACCCTCTCAATCAACTCCCCATCCACACACTCCCACCCCTTATCCACCTCCAACAACCTCGCAAAACTCGTCAGACTATACGCCAGCGTATTCCCCGTCGCATGCAGCGTCAAATAGCGCAAGCGCGTCAGCCCGCCCTCCACGATAAAAGTATCTGCAAAGGACGGATCGCCGATATTATTCTGCAATTTGAAGACGGCCATCTTGCGCACTGCGTCTTCGTCGCTGCCGAGTCGTTCGACGAGTTCGCTGACGTTGGTTGTTTCCATTGTGACCGTGGGGCTGTGGGTTCCCTTGACAGAGGGGAATATAAATGCGAGGCGGGGGCGCAATTTACTGCTTTGAGGTCGAGGTCGAGGTCGACTTCAAGGCCAACGAGTCTGGCGGGTGACTGTCAACTGTCAACTGTCGAATCTGAATTGAACCTGAGAATCGAAATGGCAATCACGCAGCGCTCGAATCCCCGAGCGTCCCAACTCCAAGAATCACGACAGTGTCGGCCCTATGTTGAGAAGTATCTCGGCTCTTCCACTCCCACTCCCACTCCCAGTCGCAAGTCCAATCGGAGCAGATGGCGCAATTCCAGCAACCGCGAGCACTCGAGGACTCTTTCCAAGGAAGACCGGCCGTGAGGGGAGAGGAGAGGATGGAGACGGGAGTGCGATCGGGGAGAGAATCAGGGGCCGGGGGAACGCTGTGGGGCAAAAGAGTCGAGTCCGAGCTCGAGGCTTACCGACTAATTTGGTAGGTTAATTGGACCCGTAGTTTCAGATTTTGTCGATCGTGGATTGGATGGCGGTCTTGTATACGATCAGTAGTGACTACGGACTAGTGACTAGTAGACTACAGTGTCAGTGGTCACAGACTACTAGTACTACTACTCACTATAATTAGCGTACAAAGAGCATCATTCTGACTGCGTGATATGGATAGTGTAGACTCTGGAATCGCAATTGCGGAGTATTCACTCCAGTGCGTCTACAGTGATATTGCAATTTGTGCAGTCATTACGAGCCAATTTCCCACTCCTCAGATGTAAGATTAAGGTGACACGTGTCTTACAACGGGATCCAAGTAGATAGAAAAATATCAATGTATATTATTTCTGTGGTAGATGAGAAAGGTTCAACAGCGTCAATTATCCGGCATCAAGCCGAAAACATAGACATTAGAGTATGCGCAAAAAAGTCGTTTATACATGAGATGGCCGACATGAGGACAAGTGGAGAAGGATCGAGAATGACCAGTCATACTCAAGTAGACTTTTCTTTGGCGACAGTTCGACTTCAATCAGTTCTCCCCCGTCCGGCTCATTAAAGAGAGAGGGAATCTAGAGTTTCGCAGGCAAGATGGCAAGATAAGAACGAGAGAAACAAAATTCAGAAACGACAAGGCAGTCCGGTTCTGCCTGGTATCAAAACTCCGGTAGCTTCGTGGTTTTTGGTGCCACGGATGCATGCGACAGATGTTGGGGGGTTTATGAGGAAACTCCAAGGTTCATTTTGGATGGACCTTGGGTGATTTTGCAAGTGTTATACGAGACGGGATGTGCTCCAAAACAGAGGGGCTCACTGCAGAGACTGAGAGTCACCGACGCCAGCCCACGTTCCAGATCACATGGGCAATGTCACGAGCGGTATTGACGGTATCAACCACACGGCCGAGGATGCCGGGATTGGCAGACTCCCCTTCATTGTCACCATACGGCATGAACATGCCCGAAGAGGTGAGATGCAGGGGTCGGTCGGGCCGATCCTCTTCATCCTCGGCGGCAAACCAGGGCTGGTCGCGTTGCAGATATTGACCCGTAAAATCCAAAGACGGGTCTTCATCGTCGTCGTCCAAGAGGAAGTTGGCCGATGGTTGGGGAGGTCGCAGAGTGGCGACTGAGGGAGTGGGGGATAATTTGGCGGACGGAGAGGAAGATGGAGAAGCTGCGGCGGCGAAGGGAGAGGAGGCAGATGGGGAGGGGGAGACAGAGCAAGATGAAGGAGATGATGAAGTCGACGTGGACCAGCGACTGAATAGTGACTCTCGAGGTTCGGGGGTGTCGCCGCGATATTTGAGGGTGGTAGAAGGGAGAGGCGCAATTGTCTTACTATCACTGCTAAAACTGTTGCGAGGTGTGCTGCAGCTGCTGAGGGGGACACCGCTGGGGATTTGTCGCATCATGACGACGCTATCATCCGAAGATGACTCTTCCTCGAATGCCGGTGGCCAGCGCTCATCATCGTCGACATCCTTGATCTCCACGGCGATGCACTGCTCCACTTCATTGTTGAAATGGATGTGTCGTCGTTCACTGGGGGAGGTCATACCCGACCAGGACGAGGTCGTCACCGTGCCGCCCAGTGAGTAGGTAGAACTGCCGGTGCGGTGAGCGAGATGGTCCAGATCGGTATTGGATCGTGGAAACGAGGGTCGGGTCCAATTATTTCCGGCCTCTTGCGCCTTAAGAATGGCCCCCGCGTGTTGTAGAAGTACGTGCTGCGAAAGCGACCGTTGCAGAATCGTCTCGGACATGGTCTTTTTCTTGAGGATGGGTTTGGGCTCGAGGTAGGAGCTGGGCGTTTCGAGTCGACTGGGTGGAGGCGATGCGTTGAGGGTCATGACGTCCCGAAACGAAGACGTCTTGAGGGGTCCATAGAGCAATGTGACATCGCAATCCTTGAGCCTAGATCATCGCGGACTGCGTTAGTATCGGTTGCTGGGACTGCAGGAGTGGGGAAAAAGCTTTTCTGTGTGTTTGTGACGCCATACCAATTCAATGCCTCCGGGGAAACGGTCCCTAGATTGTGCTTCGCCTTGGCCCACGTCCTCCACGACGCATTCTCCAATCGAACCCCGTTACTATACGACTCCTTTCGAGCGGTGACATAGCGCCAGGACGCCCAGATATCTTCCTCCCGCCACTCGTGCGATAGATAATCCACGTGCCGGGAGGGCTCCTCCTCTACCGAGGTGTCGTCTGCCGCGGGTGTCTGGCACGACCACGTGGGCGTTTGGGACGCGCCATCCGCCGACGCATCGCTCACCGTATCCTGATCGCGGTCACGGTCGCTCTCGAGGGGTTTGGGCAACTTGTGGAGCTCGGTATCATATGCGGGGAGGATCAAGTCCTCGTGATCGTCGGCGAGGGAGAGACTGCTCAGGGTGGTGGGGGTGTATGCAAGGGGATCCTGGGCGGAGGCGATGAAGTTGGGTGACGCAGGGAGGGAGGAGAGAGTCGACGAGGGCACCGGACTGGGACACTCTCGCGGCGAGTATGCGAGTTGCATTGGGGAAGATTTGGGCGGCACGCCGTGGTCGCCCAGAAAGTAGCGCTGCACCGTCGGCGACTGGACGGAGTCGCGAGCAAATTGGTGCGACGGCTGATCGCGGGGATTGACTAGCACCGTCGTCATTTCCTCTTTTTCCGTGTACGATGACAATTCCGGAGCGACTCTTATTTGCCGAACACACACACGAGGATCGGGCGGCAAATCCGAACGGTTTGTGTTTGTGTATGTGTGTGTGACCCCCAAAGTGGAGCAAGTCGTGATGACCGAGCACTGTACACGTGCAGTAGTGTACAGCAGCGAGTCAAGAGGGTCGATTCCCTGGGTGTTTGTCTTTTTTTTTAAGAGTGGAACATTGAAGATCAATGGACGAGATTCTGCCGATACCTCGCAAGACGGGAAGGGGGGGGGGGGGGGGTGGGAGCGTGAGTGACTACCTGCTAGGCTGGGCAGTCGGTCGTGGGGATGAGAAGATTTAAAGCGGTAGAGCAAAGGTTGGAGGACAGGAAAAACGTTGAGACGAAGGGCGGCGAAATTCACCCAAATTTGTGAGCGATGCGAGGCGTGGGAATGTTGGCACAAGACTGTGGCGGAGGAGCGGGACTGTACCCCGGGGGGAAAACGGTCCCAAGCGCTTGGTGTCGGATCGACGGAAGGTCGGTCTCGTGATTTGGTGGTCCCGTTGGAATTGACGAGTCGTGGTGTATAGGGGGAATGGAAATGGTCGGTCGAGGAGATGGATGTTTTTCAGTCGAGCGAGAAGGGCTGCACGAAGAAGACCACCGGAGGAGAGAGCATGGAAGAAAGAGTCGACCCTAGACAGCCGACGAGCAAGAAATAAGAGGTGCAGGCGAGTACCGAGCAATCACTCGATCAGGAAAGCTTGGAACTCGAAAGGGAGAACGCGGAGGAGGTGAGCCCAAGTGGAGCTGGGGGGAAGATATCCAGTTGCACGGTGTACCACGGGAACCGGGTGAGATAGCCACTGGCCGCGACCAGACTCGATCGCTGGATGCAAAAACAGCCAAACAGGCCCACGGGCCAGACGAGGTCGACAGGCTGGGAGACGCCTGTGCGGGAGGGGGGGGGGGGAGAAGAGCCACCGTTCAAAGTTTATTTGAGGACCGGGAACTGCGAGAGATCCGCCTGGAGAGACGATAGTCGGTTGAGGAGAGGAGAGCACTTGGGACAAGGGAGAACAAGTGACAATGGGGCACAAAGGGGGTCGATTGTTGATGGTCGATTGTTGATGGTCGATTGTTGATGGTCGATTGTTGATGGTCGAAGGTCGATGGTCGATGGTTGATGGTCGATGGTTGCATCCACGAGAAACCGGGGCGGGAGAAACAGAAGAGCAAAGGATGCACTTCTTGTACAAGGAAGCAAAGGAAGGAGAAGGGGGGGATGCCCCTCGGACATTTAAACATGAGGACTAAAACGGTTCTTTTGATCGGAATCTCGCCGGCCCAGAACACGTCGGAAGAGTGCGCACCCATCGGACTGCCAGAAGAAGAAAACTCGCAAAAAAGGTTATACAGAAATGGAAGAGGCAGGTATGGAATGTTCCCGATCTGCGAGGGTCCAAGCTGGCCGAATACGGAAATCAGCCCTCCATCGAGCGATTTACACTTTCCACTTTCCACTGGACTACATCAGGACCTACACCATGTGTCCAGAAAAGGATACCATCAACCTCAAGGGCGAGATCCTAATCAAAAGAGACTAATGCAGAATGAGATACTTTTTCCTGCTTCCATAGGTATGCGCTAAGTACCAAGGACTAGTTATGTACTGTGTATGACTATGAAGATAGTAGTTCTTTTCCACTCGCCCTCTCGCGGACTCCAAGCGCAATCAACAGAAGTCCATCATGGCAATCCAGTACCAACACGCCCGTATCAATCAAATTGTACAAAAACAGATAAGCTCGTACCTCCTGTCCACGACGACAAAAGTGCATCATCCTGCACATGGAACCAAGTTCCGGGATGAGGGACTGTACTACCTCTCTAACCCAGCAGGTAAGGTTCCCTTCCACCCCCATCGTCGGTAAGCGTAGATAGGCTGCGCCCAAGCGAGTGGACTCGACGCGATTGGCATACGAAAGATCCGAACATCGCCTCATCGGTGGGTCATTGAGGACCGTGCACGCCCGCAAATCACGTCCCGTACCCGGAGTCACTTACAGAAGAAGTGTACCGTAGTGTCCAAGTAGTAGGGTACGTGATGCAGTCATGAACAAGTCTCTTTTTTTTTCTACTGTACATAACCTACAGTATTGACAATATCACCAGGTACTCAGTGAACCATGGCCGGCCAATGAGATGGACATTGGATCATCCAGAGACTCATGGACTAGGCATCGGGAGAAGCCATGCTGAGCGTGTCTGATCCTACTCTCCTGTCCCAACCCCCACGTTGATTATACGCTTCGACCAGACACGGGTGTCAAGCATTGCACCATCATATGTACAGAGTACAGAGTACAGACTACACACTAGTGAGTAACTTAGTACACCCTCGACCTCGATCCTCGGTGCGGCGAGAAGTCAACGTAATTCCAACCGTCAGTGCAGTCAAGGTTCGTTGGGAAGGTCAGGACGAACAAATCAACGCTGTTCGTTGTCTAACCGCGCTCTCCTCGTTCGCCACTTCAGGCGTAGCTATCCGGGCGAGTACTCCGATCGCTGATGAGACCGGGGGGATTTGGGAGGGGGCTACTTTATGGAGTACTGTGTGGCTTGTGCACAGAGCTCAGGCTCAGGGTAGATCGGTACACGTCGACCAGGTCTACCAAGTTCACTGATAGGACTACTGTTAAAGGGGATCAGATCGAGGTTTGTGGATCAGTTTTACTGACTCGAGTGAGAGTTCACTACTATGAATCATTTTACTGTATCTACTTTCGGCAGACCAATCGATAGTATCGTACACTGTCCAGTATACACTATACAGTATATTATGCAGTATACTATCTAGTATCACTATCTACTAATCTCGTACATACTACAAGGTTGTACTCCGGCAGTCAAATCCTAGACTTTCCCAGATCATCCTCAAGAAAAGCTCTGATCTGAGAGTGGCGACCGGGAGATCTGCTGCCCGTACGAGCATCAAAGGGAACAAACCTCGGCAAGCGGACGAGTTTAGTGCCGCAGCAGAGTGTGAAATGAGGATCACGGCATCTCATCATCGTTCGACCTCTCAAATGATAGAGTCACTCTTGGTCCTTTTGCAGAACGGGGGTACAATTCACCGTGCAAAAGACTGCCGAATTGCAGTCTCCGTCCCTCTGGTCGACCACGCCTTCGATACTCTACACTCTACACTCTACACTCTACACTCTACAGTATACAGTAGCCAAGAGTCGACAAGTCGAGACTACTGATATGGCTACCACTCAATGTGACTGTGAGTCTTTCGAGACTCTAGACTCTAGACTCTAGGCCCAAGACTCCAGCCTCTCTAGACCACCTCTCCACTCTTCCACTTCCACCTCCACTTGGGCACTTCCCAGTTCCCACCGGCCAGACTCCAGGGTCCAGTGCTGAGTGCAGTAGTGCAGTAGTGCAGTCGTCCAGTCCAGACGTACGCCCCCGACAAGGCGCCCCCAATCATGACCCCCAAGACTCGGAATTCCTTGAAATCCACCCGCAGCTAACGCTCGCGTTAAGATGAAGGTGCATGAGTTAGTCCCCATGGCCATGTCAATGATACTACTAGTATACTACTAGTATACTACTAGTATACTACTACTGTATGTCATCTTGGTCCAGTCACAAAATGACAAACTTGAAACTACTCCTAGTACTAACTTACTAAGTTCCAGTAGTGAGACGAGAAGCCAGGATCGGGAGATTCGAGATTGGACCTTGGCAATCAGTGGCCGATGAACCTATACTCTCAAGTTTCAACCCATACACACTGCGGTTCTACCATCCAGACACCGGATCGCGCACCTTCAGTGGCAAATAGTAATACTGCACTAGACACGGTACACGCTCTATAGAAACCTAGGCCCTCGCCCGCGATTGCTCAATACTCGAAATCAAAAAAGACCTCGTCCACAACCGCAACCGCAACCGCAACCGGTCGCATATCTTCGGACGATTGCGGGAAAGGACTCGGACTTGGCGAGCATACTGTACCTTGTTTCACCGAGCGGCCACTGGCAAGCGCTAGAGTTTGGTCCCTCCAAGTAAGTACCCAGGAGCATCACGAATCACGATATAATAATAATATGATTTCATTTTTCCAATCAATCTCTTTGCGTCCTTCCCCTTGGCTGGTTCTTTGGCCACGGTGGAGATCCTCCTGTTCGGCCCGCTCGATGGACGCGGGAAGTCAAGCGAATTTCGGACGTTTGACGGCGACGGGGATCCCTCTCCATCACCACACTAGGACAATCTGAGGGAAAATCAAGGACTCGGCTTCGGAGACGACTAGCAGTCCTCGGAGCCAAGAAACATGTGACTGGCAGCACGATCCGAGTAAAGCCTGAACACTCCAATTGATCTCATCGGTATTGACTGAGAAAGTGTACTCAAGTACTGTAGTGAAGGAGTCTAATTGAAAAAAATACAATCAAAACAGTCCTCTCGCCATAGAAACCATGAATGATGATGCATTCTCTGCCCACGTGTCCATTCTCTCTTGCCAATTCTAACCGGGGACCTCTCCGCGACTCAATTGATCTCCATTGACTGACAATCTCATCTCTTCCCAGATAAATTGCACTGTGAATCTAAATCAAAATCCAGTCACGATCTGCACTGCCCGCCTTACATCGCCCCCAAAGCACTTTGCAACGACGAATAGTCCATTCCTGGTATTGTACTTCCGCTTCTGCCCGCACCGACACACTAACAACTTCAATTGCGCCTTCCCCCCACCAAGATAGAGTCTTTTCTCCGCGCACCGCGCACTGTGTATTCAGTATTGAGTAATCCACTCACTGTGCATCCCGCATTCAGACTTGTGCACATACCTCGTCTTCGCAACCTGGTCTGGCCTGGCCCGGTCAGTTGGCGGAAGGGAACCGAGGCTGGAACATACCACGCTCAGGCACTTGATGCAGGCCAAGTACGGCTCGAGTACCCAGACCATCCATGTTGCCTATCTCCTGG